GGCAAGGATATGGAACTGCCCCCTACCTCCCCAGCTTATAATGCATGTCGCAGAATGGGTGTACTGCCCTGCGCCCATTCTCTGCCCTCTTGCTTTGACTGCCCATGGTTGGCATTTAGTGTGCATTGTAGCCAAACCAGTAACGGGACAGGTTCATCCAATGTCCATAGCAAGGATAGGGAACTACCCTCTCCCCCCAGCTTCTAATGCATGCCGCAGAATGGGTGTACTGCCCTGTGCCCATTCTCTGCCCTCTTGCTTTGGCTGCCCATGGTTGGCATTTAGTGTGCACTGTAGCCAAACCAGTAACGGGACAGGTTCATCCAATGTCCATAGCAAGCATAGGGAACTACCCTCTCCCCCCAGCTTCTAATGCATGCCACAGAATGGGTGTACTGCCCTGCGCCCATTCTCTGCCCTCTTGCTTTGGCTGCCATTGGTTGGCATTTAGTGTGCATTGTAGCCAAACAAGTCTTGGGCTAGATTCATCCAATGTCCACAGCAAGGATACAGAACTACCCTCTCCCCCAGCTTCTAATGCATGCCGTAGAATGTGTGTACTGCCCTGCGTCCCTTCTCTTGTTTTGGCTGCCCATGGTTGGCATTTAGTGTGCATTTAGCCAAACCATTACCGGGACAGGTTCGTCCAATGTCCATGGCAAGGATACAAAACTACCCTCTCCCCCCAGCTTCTAAGGCATTCCACAGAATAAGTGTACTGCCCTGTGCCCATTCTCTGCCCTCTTTCTTTGGCTGCCATGGTTGGCATTGAGTGTGCAATGCACATGTGTGGCCAATCATTGGCTTTCTAGATACCAGCAGGTGGTTGCCCATGCACAGTATATTTTGTCAGCTGTGGGTGGATGGGGTGGAGAGTGGGTAGGAAGGTGCAGATTACCTCCATCCAGTAGATGGCACTGTGTCATTGTACAGATGGAATGCAGCCTGTTAGGGGAACTGTCCCCTCATTGACTCTGTCAGCGTCTTGGAGGAGCCAGCTGTCTGATTGGATGCGGCAACCACTGGAAACCGCCATCTTGCTGTGGCACCTTATAAATAGGGTACCTGCATCATTCTGGCATGCCTGCATGCCTGCTGTAAGTAGCAGGTCAGAAACATAGACCCTGCTAATTAGGATGAGTGTATCATGCAGGGTGAGGTACCTGGCGAGCAGGGTCAGCTCAGGGACAACGTCTGTCTTGAAGAAACCTTCTTGTATCCAGACCAGTTAAGTGGGGTTCTAATCCGCAGCATTAGAGTGTCGTTCTGGCACACCGCAGTCCTCCACCCCTCCACTCCTCCACCGCTCCACAGAAGCCATCCTCTGGTAATGCGGGCCCAAGCCTTGTCCGGTGGCGGCAAGGAACAACGACTATTGGAGGAAAGGTGAGTAAGGATCTCTCTCTTTAGTTCCCCTTTAAATTACAACATGGCTTGTGTGGCAATTGTACATGCTATATACACTCACTCATACTTTATTGGGTCCACCTTGCTAGTACCAGATTGGGCCCCCTCTTGCCTTCAGAACTGCCTTCATTCTTGGTGGCATGGATTCAACAAGGTGTTGGAATTATTCCTCATAGATTTTGGCCCATATTGACATGATAGCATCACGCAGTTGCTGCAAATTTGTTGGCTGCACATCCATGATGCGAATCTCTCGTTCCACCGAGTCCCAAAGGTGTTCTACTAGATGGAGATCTGGTGACTTTGGAGGCCATTGGAGTACAGTGACCTCATTGTCATGTTCAAGAAACCAGTTTGAGATGATCTAAGCTTTGTGACATGGTGTATTATCCTGCTGGAAGGAGCCATCAGAAGATGGGGACACTGGAGTCATGAAGGGATGGACATGGTCAGCAACAATACTCTGTGGTGTTTAAATGATGCTCAATTGGTAATAAGGGGCCCAAAGTGTGCTAAGAAAATATTCTCCACACCATTACACCACTGCCACCAGCCTAAACCGTTGATACAAGGCAGGATGGATCCATGCTTTCATGTTGTTTACGCCAAATGCTGACCCTACCATCTGAATGTCGCATCTGAAATCCAGACTCATCAGACCAGGTAACGTTTTTCCAATCTTCTTTTGTCCTATTATGGTAAACTTGTGCGAATTGTAGCCTCAGTTTCCTGTTCTTAGCTGACAGGAGAGGGAGCTGGTGTGGTCTTCTGCTGCTGTAGCCCATCTGCTTCAAGGTTCAATGTGCTGTGCAGTCAGAGATGATATTCTGCATACCTTGGTTGTAATGAGTGGTTATTTGAGTTTTGTTATTTTCTATCATCTCCAACCAGTCTGCACATTCTCCTCTGACATCAACAAGGGTTTTGGCCCACACAACCGCTTCTCACTGGATTTTTGGACCATTCTCTGGAAACCACTTTTTCGGACCATTCTCTGGAAACCCTAGAGATGGTTGGGTGTGAAAATCCCAGCAGATCAGCAGTTTTTGAAATACTCAGACCAGCCCGTCTGACACCAACAACAATGCCACGTTCAAAGTCATTTAAATCCCCTTTCTTCTTCATTCTGATGCTCAGTTTGAACTTCAGCAAGTCATCTTCACCACGTCTAGCTGCCTAAATGTATTGAGTTGCTGCTATGTGATTGGCTGATTAGCAATTTGTATTACCAAGCAATTGAACAAGCGTACTGAGGTTTGTGAAAGTCAAATGAGCAGCCTGAATATTTGTGGTGTCTCTGCCAATTCCTGGTGAGGTGTGGCCAGTAGGTGGCTGGAGAGGGACATAAACAGTCTGAGGCCTGGAAAACAGCCCTGGTCTGGACCTACTGGAGGAGTCCCCAGCCTCAAGGGCTGCTGTTCCTTTGTGGCAGCCCCGCTAGAGTTGGATGACGGTGTCAGGACTGAGGGACCTATTTCTACTTCCATCAGAAGCTAAAGATTCGGTCTGTATATCTCATTGAGGCATCCCTAGTTGAAGCTGGGAGATGTTCAGCTGCCCTGGGGTACAGAAATTGAGCAAAGATGGATCCCTTTTGTGAAATTTTCTAAAGTGATAAGACAGGCTATGATGTTTGAAACCTTTTTTAATATTCCTAATATGTTCACCAAGCCTCACGGCAAGTTTCCTAGTTGTCCTCCCTATATACTGTAAAATTTAAATTAGGCACACACACACAGACACACACACAGCCCTATAAAAAGTTACAGTACTTCGATGTTCACTCATAGAGCCGGGTACTGCACTCTAGGGGGAGGCAGAGAGCACAGCACACACTCCTTCCTTTGCTTTCACTGCGCTCAGCTATTGAGCAGTCTGACGGCTCCCAGTGCCAATGATAGATCCGGCCTGAGCTCCGAGCCTGCTCAGCAAGACGGCCCTGGGGGACACACTCGCCCCCTCCATAATTTCCACTCGCCATTGGCGAGCTGGGGAGTGGAAATTTCAAGGCCTGCTGTAAATGACAATATATGAGGCCAGGAACAGCCCCGGTCTGGACCTGCTGGAGGAGTTCCCAGCCTCAAGGGCCGCTGTTCCTTTGAGGTAGTCCTGGATGATGGTGACAGGACTGAGGGACCTATTCCTACTTTCATCAGAAGCTAAGGATTCGGTCTGTATATCTCATTGAGGAATCCCTAGTTGAAGCTGGCCTGTGAGTACTGACCCAAGCTCAATGTTTACTGATCATGCACTCCTGAGGTGCCAGCTGTAGCTATTCCTGAGACTTTAACTATTCTGCAATCTACTTCAGTAACTGAACAGGTGCACCCTAATAAAGTGTCCAGTGAGTGTATTTTTTTTTATTTGTAATTTTTTTCAATATAGTGGAGTTACCCTTTAAAGGATAAGTTCACCTTTCATAACATGTTACACCCATATTCAGGGTGTAACATGCAACATGTTATGAAAGCACCGCCCCCTGCTCCCAGCTGATCCCCCACTAGGACAGCTACCGAGAGATCTTCTCCCCAATGCTCAAATTTTTAAAAAATGTGGCTGCCATGTCACTCCTCTGTGAATGAGAAACTAAAAGTCCCAACAGCCTTAGTGGCTGTCGACTTGTAGTTCTCAATGCACTACCACGGTGCTGTGGAGCGACGAGGTAGTTCAATGATTCTTCCATTTGGCATATCTGCTTGCTCGTACATCCGGTATGGGCAAGCAGGTATAATGACAGGTCTGCAGGGGACCTGCATGGCACCAGCGATCTACTGATTATTATTATACAGGATTTATATGGCGCCAACAGTTTGCTCAGTGCTCTACAATATAACGGGAGACAATACAGCAACAATACAGTTCAATACAAGAGGGTTTGGAGGGCCCTGCTCCTTGGAGCTTACAATCTAGGAGGGGATAGTGATACAAAAGGTAATAACTGTGGGGGATGGACTGGTAGGAGGAATAGAAGATTCCATTATTAGCTGAAGGCAGGATAGGCTTCCCTGAAGAGATAGTTTTTCAGAGATCGCCTAAAAGTGGGTGAGTAGGTGATAGTCGGATAGATTGGGGTAGAGAGTTCCAAAGGATGGTGGAGGCTCTGGAGAAGTCCTGGAGATGAGCATGAGAGAAAGAGACAAAGAAGCTAATGAGCAGGAGGTTGTGGGAGGAGCAGAGAGAACGGTTTGGTATTATATTTATATTTGATATTTGGAGACAAGATTGGTGATGTAATTTGGGGCGGAGTTATAAAAGGTTATAAAAGGTTTTTTATGTTATTAATGTTTTGAATTGTATTCGTTGGGCAATGGGAAGCCAGTGGAGGGATTGGCAGAGAGGGATGGAGGACACTGAGTGGAGGCCAGTGGAGGGATTGGCAGAGAGGGGTGGAGGACACTGAGTGGAGGCCAGTGGAGGGATTGGCAGAGAGGGGTGGAGGACACTGAGTGGAGGCCAGTGGAGGGATTGGCAGAGAGGGGTGGAGGACACTGAGTGGAGGTGGAGGATTGGCAGAGAGGGGTGGAGGACACTGAGTGGACGTCAGTGGAGGGATTGGCAGAGAGGGGTGAAAGACACTGAGTGGAGATCAGTGGAGGGATTGGCAGAGAGGGGTGAGGACACTGAGTGGAGGCCAGTGGAGGGATTGGCAGAGAGGGGTGGAGGACACTGAGTGGACGCCAGTGGAGGGATTGGCAGAGAAGGGTGGAGGACACTGAGTGGAGACTTCCCTGAAGAGACAGGTTTTAAGAGATCGTCTAAAAGTGAGCAGAGTAGGCGATAGGCTGATAAATTGGGGTAGAGATTTCCAGAGGATGGGGGAAGCTCTGGAGAAGTCCTGGAGATGAGCATGGGAGGAGGAGACAAGGGAGCTAGAGAGCAGGAGGTTGTGCGAGGAGCGGAGAGGATGGTTTTGGTGATAGTACAATGCTTTACAGGCTCCTGCAGCAAAAAAATAATAAATGCACATTTTATACCTGCAAGAAAAAAAAATGTGCATTTATTATTTTTTTACCAAAAGGTGAACTTTCCCTAACCTTAAAAATGATTCTTCTTTCTATCAGCGTGAGGCTGATAACTAAAACAGGTCGGGGACTTTATAAAAAGTTCTATGTTGTGTTTCCATACAAAAGCAAAATTATGCATTTCTCTGGAAAAAGTTCAAGGTCTGCACAGCTATTTATCATGGAATTGAATGCACTATCTTCCTTCTTTGTAAAATGCCTATTTTTTTTTTTCACCTATAATTCTGAGAAGGTCACCATGTCAACTTTAATGGATGCATTCTGTGTATGTATAGACAGCGCAGCTATTGTGTGTTGTATCATCTGGACAATGAATGTCAGTACAGCATTAATTCCTAATATTCAGACGTTTTCATAGAAAAGACCACTAATAAAATTGCGTATTAAGCAACCTTATCCTCCGCATACCCGTACTATTGATTGAAAAGGCATCTGCATATGGCGCCGTAATTGACCAGATGTTTCTGTTTCTGATAAGACGAGTTAATGGCGGACATCTGCTGCGCACACCTAGGTCTCGCTATAACAGTTGCATGTTGGCAAGCACACCTGTCATTGGGCTAGACCTGTGCAAGGTTCCACCTGCCCTTGTGAAGGCGAGACCTATAAAACCGTTATTATTTATAGACACGTTTTAATATCTGAGCAATAGGTTAGCCGACAACATATGCACATTGATGACTGAGCAGAAGGGTGGGAGGGAAGCCATGAAAATGTACGAATGTATAAAATGAACGCATAGTAGTATCATTATTATTATTATTTAATACAGGATTTATGGCGCCAACAGTTTGCTCAGCGCTTTACAATATAAAGGAAGACAAAACAGCAACAATACAGTTCAATACAAGAAGGTTAGGAGGGTCCTGATCCTGGGAGCTTACAATCTAAGAGGGAGGGGCTGGTGGTACAAAAGGTAGTAACTGTGGGGGATGGACTGATAGGAGGAGTAGAAGATTCCATTATTAGCGGAGGGCAGGATAGGCTTCCCTTAAGGTATAAGTTTTCAGAGATCGCCTAAAAGTGAGCAGAGTAGGCGACAGTCTGATAAATTGGGGTAGAGAGTTCCAGAGGATGGGGGAAGCTCTGGAGAAGTCCTGGAGATGAGCATGGGAGGAGGAGACAAGGGAGCTAGAGAGCAGGAGGTCTTGCGAGGAGTGGAGAGCATGGTTTGGGTGATATTTGGAGACAAGATTGGTGATGTTATTTGGGGCGGAGTTATAAATGGCTTTATATGTTATTGTTAGTGTTTTGAATTTTATCTGTTGGGCAATGGGAAGCCAGTGGAGGGATTGGCAGAGAGGGGTGGAGGCCAGTGGAGGGATTGACAGAGAGCGATGGAGGACAGTGAGTGGAGAACAGTGAAGGGATTGGCAGAGCGGGATGGAGGACACTGAGTGGAGGCCAGTGGAGGGATTGGCAGAGAGGGGTGGAGGACACTGAGTGGAGGCCATTGGAGGGATTGGCAGAGAGGGGTGGAGGACACTGAGTGGAGGCCAGTGGAGGGATTGACAGAGAGGGATGGAGGACACTGAGTGGAGGCCAGTGGAGGGATTGGCAGAGAGGGGTGGAGGACACTGAGTGGAGGCCAGTGGAGGGATTGGCAGAGAGGGGTGGAGAACACTGAGTGGAGGCCAGTGGAGGGATTGACAGAGAGGGATGGAGGACACTGAGTGGAGGCCAGTGGAGGGATTGGCAGAGAGGGGTGGAGGACACTGAGTGGAGGCCAGTGGAGGGATTGGCAGAGAGGGGTGGCAGATATGGAATGGTTAGTAAGGTGGATGAGTCTGGCAGCAGTATTCATGATAGACTGGAGAGGGGATAGCCTGCGATGAGTTCGGCCAATGAGGAGGGAGTTACAATAGTCAAGGCGAGAGATAACAAGGGAATGAATAAGTTGCTTAGTGGTTTCCGAGGTTAGGAACGGGCGTATCTTGGAGATGTTGCGGAGGTGAAGTCTACAAGATTTGGACAGCGATTGGATTTGGGGCTGAAAGGACAGATGGGAGTCTAGGATTACACCTAGTACCCTGGCATGGGGGGAGGGACTGATGGTTGTATTATTGGTCTTGATGGAGAAGTCAGGGGAGGGGGCGTAGATAAATCTAAGATTTACCATTAGAAGTGCTGGACCTATGGCTAAGAAGAGTCTACTTTTCATTGGACGGTCATCAACAACACCTTTCAGTCCAATACTATCCAACTACCACAATGGGACAATGGCGGGACCAAAAGAATCTCATAGCTAAGTGCCCCACTATTACAATTGGATCAAAAAAAGTGCTCATTTATATAATATCAATGTGTTTTGGTCCTGTCTTTGCTTTATTGTAGGAATTTGTGTTTTGTTTTCCCTGAAGAAGCGGGTATTGCCCCATTGAAACGCGTTGGAATTTTCAAGAAAGTGCCTATTCATGGTCCCAAGTGGAAACTATGTATTTATATGTTTATTATGTTTATTAACACCTAAATATGATACTATTTGTTTAGGTAGTCTTATACCAACCAAGTATCACTCCATGTTTCCAACGTGTTAGCCATGCACTATTATGTTTACTATTATGCACAGGGGCTAAATGGTTAGCACTTCCGCCTGGCAGTATTAGGATCGTTGGTTCAAATCCCAACCACAGCACCCCCTGCCTGGAATTTGCATGTTCTCCCTGTGCCTGTGTGGGTTTCCTCCGGGTACTCCAGTTTCCTCCCACACTCCAAACACATGCTGGTAGGTGAATTGGCTCCTGTCTAAATTGTCCCTAGTATGTGTATGTATGAATGTGAGTTAGGGACCTTAGATTGTACGGGATTGATGTGAATGTACAATATATATGTAAAGCGTGGCGTAAACTGACGGCGCTATATAAGTACCTGAAATAAATAAATAAAACCCCAAAACAATTATATCTTTTCTGAAAGCAGAGGCCCTGGAAAGAAAAATGGGGGTAGTTGCAAATTGTTTTACGTTGCACGCGGCTATTTATCAAAGGCATATTTTCAGGAAAAAAATACACTAAAAACGTATTTTAGTGCAAACAAACACAATATTATACCCACTTTTGGGGTAAAATATATAAAAAAATGAGGTTGCCTTGAGTAAATAGATACCAAACACGTCAAGATGTAAAATTGCATCCTAAACTCAGCTCCATAAAAGCCTGTGAGTCCATGTACACATAGGCTTTTAGCAGAGTTTAGCAGCTGCCGCAGTTAGGTGGGGTTAGCTCCCTCTCCTGAACGCAGAAGAATGGCGTTCAGGATAGGAACGTTATGACCGTCGAAGCGGGGGGAAAACGCAAAATGCTGCAAAATTTCAGTACCTCGGTTACCGCGTTTTGTCACGGTTTTGCAGCGATTTGAGTTTTTCCACAGCTAGCGGTCAGGGTACGCTCGTGTACATGGAGCCTAAAGCACACCGACACCAAATTACATTTTTTTTTGATACTACCTAAAATACACTGACCCTGACCTTCGATCCAGAGCTTTGACTCTGATCATAACCTTTAACCCTAACCTCAAACCTAACCCTGACCTGGTCACACCCTGATCTAGCTATTTTGCCTTTATTTTTTTTATTATTATTTTTTTTTTTCGACACACGCCTTTTTTTCCAGCAAAAAGATACAATTTGTTATATAATATAGCCTGTATGTATGCAGTGAATTATATCATGTATCCTGTATGTATACAATGTATTATATTATGTATCCTGTATGTATACAATGTATTATATCATGTATCCTGTATGTATACAATGTATTATATCATGTATCCTGTATGTATACAATGTATTATATCATGTATCCTGTATGTATACAATGTATTATATCATGTATCCTGTATGTATACAGTGTATTATATTATGTATCCTGTATGTATACAATGTATTATATCATGTATCCTGTATGTATACAATGTATTATATCATGTATCCTGTATGTATACAATGTATTATATCATCTTTCATGTATGTATACAATGTATTATATCATGTATCCTGTATGTATACAATGTATTATATCATCTTTCATGTATGTATACAATGTATTATATCATGTATCCTGTATGTATACAATGTATTATATCATCTTTCATGTATGTATACAATGTATTATATTATGTATCCTGTATGTATACAATGTATTATATCATCTTTCATGTATGTATACAATGTATTATATCATCTTTCATGTATGTATACAATGTATTATATCATGTATCCTGTATGTATACAATGTATTTATATCATGTATCCTGTATGTATACAATGTATTATATCATCTTTCATGTATGTATACAATGTATTATATTATGTATCCTGTATGTATACAATGTATTATATCATATATCCTGTATGTATACAATGTATTATATCATCTTTCATGTATGTATACAATGTATTATATTATGTATCCTGTAGGTATACAATGTATTATATCATATATCCTGTATGCATACAATGTATTATATCATGTATCCTGTATGTATGCAGTGTATTATATCATGTATCCTGTATGTATACAATGTATTATATCATGTATCCTGTATGCATACAATGTATTATATCATCTTTCATGTATGTATACAATGTATTATATTATGTATCCTGTATGTATACAATGTATCATCTTTCATGTATGTATACAATGTATTATATCATCTTTCATGTATGTATACAATGTATTATATCATGTATCCTGTATGTATACAATGTATTATATCATGTATCCTGTATGTATACAATGTATTTATATCATCTTTCATGTATGTATACAATGTATTATATTATGTATCCTGTATGTATACAATGTATTATATCATGTATCCTGTATGTATACAATGTATTATATCATGGATCCTGTATGTATACAATGTATTATATCATGTATCCTGTATGTATACAATGTATTATATCATGTATCCTGTATGTATACAATGTATTATATCATCTTTCATGTATGTATACAATGTATTATATTATGTATCCTGTATGTATACAATGTATTATATCATATATCCTGTATGTATACAATGTATTATATCATCTTTCATGTATGTATACAATGTATTATATTATGTATCCTGTATGTATACAATGTATTATATCATGTATCCTGTATGTATACAATGTATTATATCATGGATCCTGTATGTATACAATGTATTATCATCATGTATCCTGTATGTATACAATGTATTATATCATGTATCCTGTATGTATACAATGTATTATATCATGTATCCTGTATATATAGTGTATTATATCATGTATCCTGTATGTATGCAATGTATTATATCATATATCCTGTATGTATACAATGTATTATATCATGGATCCTGTATGTATGCAGTGTATTATATCATGTATCCTGTATGTATACAATGTATTATATCATGTATCCTGTATGTATGCAATGTATTATATCATGTATCCTGTATGTATGCAATGTATTATAGAATGGATCCTGTATGTATACAATGTATTATAGAATGGATCCTGTATGTATGCAGTGTATTATATCATGTATCCTGTATGTATGCAATGTATTATATCATGTATCCTGTATGTATACAATGTATTATATCATGTATCCTGTATGTATACAATGTATTATATCATGGATCCTGTATGTATGCAGTGTATTATATCATGTATCCTGTATGTATGCAATGTATTATATCATGTATCCTGTATGTATACAATGTATTATATCATGTATCCTGTATGTATGCAATGTATTATATCATGTATCCTGTATGTATGCAGTGTATTATATCATGTATCCTGTATGTATGCAGTGTATTATATCATGTATCCTTTATGTATACAATGTATTATATCATGTATCCTGTATGTATGCAGTGTATTATATCATGTATCCTGTATGTATACAATGTATTATATCATGGATCCTGTATGTATACAATGTATTATATCATGGATCCTGTATGTATACAATGTATTATATCATGGATCCTGTATGTATACAATGTATTATATCATGTATCCTGTATGTATACAATGTATTATATCATGTATCCTGTATGTATACAATGTATTATATCATGTATCCTGTATGTATACAATGTATTATATCATGTATCCTGTATGTATACAATGTATCATCTTTCATGTATGTATGCAGTGTATTATATCATGTATCCTGTATGTATACAATGTATTATATCATGTATCCTGTATGTATACAATGTATCATCTTTCATGTATGTATGCAGTGTATTATATCATGTATCCTTTATGTATATAGTGTATTATATCATAAAAAAAATGAGGTCCTTCAATGCTCCGCACATGACGTGGTTCATGGAGTCACAGAGGCTTGCTCTATAGTGCCAAATTTAAGTGAATATCAGGTCACAAGACCCAACATGCTGACTTCACTTCATCTAATCCAGAAGCATGAGGCTGCACGCACAGTCACAGGGAGCACTGACCTTCATAAGTCAGTGTGCCAAAAGACATCATTCTGTGTACATCAGGAGCTGCACAACTGGTGCTATTCTGACCACGTGCATTTCCACGTCTGCTATTTCATCACGGACAGCAAGTTAGAACAAAGAGAAAATGAGAAATTCTTTGTGAAACCGAGCAAATCGCTGGATCTCCGCAATGTTATCAAAACGGCGAACCTTTGAGTTGGATTTTCATTTTCAGAAAGAGGGCATTTTTTTGGGGTTGAGCGTATGGAAGGGCTTCCTGATCTCTCATCATCTTCCAGTGATGTTCTTCCACACTTGAAG